TTTGTAAATGTAGAATTACACAGATGCCACATCGTATCCATACATAAACATATATATACACACGTATGTATGAAGATATGACTGTACATATATATATATATATATATATATATATATAAACGATTGCACTCAGTGAAATCTTCAACTGGAACAGTTTTGGCTTAGAGAACGACAAATCATCTACAGCTACTATTGTCTCTTCAGCACCATTATCCCAGAGTGTGAAATCGGGTGGGATATGTCTTCCGACTGGGTCCCGTTTTCAAAATTCGACATCCTGTCTCGTCACTGAGCAGCAGTGCAAAACTCAGCCCAGTGAGCGGAAGACCCGAACGATCTTGTGCCTGTCTTCATCAGTGCACTGAGCAGGCTCTACACACGTTACCTATCAGAATGAAACGTTCCAAGTCAATGAAAGATCAGATAGATCGCTGTTGTACAAAGAAGAGACCCCCAGGTCGTCGACAAATATCAATCAATTACTGTCAGTCACCTATGACCTGTAGTCCTATTGATCGTCTTGTGGCCAGAGTAGACGCCAATAAACCTCCCATTTCTACCGGGCCCGTGCAAGCGTTGCTTAGTGAATTCTGCTGGCCCTAGAAACTCGTAGAGCATCATATCTTTCATCTACGGCTTTTGTAAAGAACTGCGACCATCGGAGAGGTAATTTTCTTTCTGTGCATTTGAAATTCCAAGGAATCCAGTTGCTAACGGCTCTGTCTATCGTTGTTCACACGCATCACGTGTCCGGCCCGCCTTAGCTCGACAGTTTGTGCATAGAACAGCGTCTTCGATTTTGATCGTTGACCCAGGTCGCACTTCTGGATCCTTTCCATACTTGTGTGAAACGGGATACTCCTAGCGTCGTCATTTCGACTGCGCGTTTGATAACACTAATTGATCATCCATTTTGCTTAAATAGCCACGAGGATTATGACACATGCGTTCAGGCAGGAAGTACCATTGAGTGAAAAGGTGGGTACGATCTCGGGTGTTCTCTGTTCATTTCACTACATCCGCGAGGCTTTTGAAAGCTCTCCAAGCCCCTCGTTTTCTTTTGCTCAGCTCTGGATCT